CGGGTGCCTACATCTTTCTGGCTGTGTGACTTGAGGTAGGGGCTTCCCCCTCTGTGAGCCTTAGTTTCTCTGTCAGGAGGCTGTATTCCGGAGACGCAATACAGGTGCCTGCCTGGAACACAGCTCAAGTGGCTGCCCTTAAATTTTGCAGAGAGAAACGGGAGGCACCAGACTCAGGGGCTTCTGGCTGGGTAGTGAGATGGCTCAGTGGGTAAAGGCACTTGCTGCCAAGCTCACTGACCTGAGTTCAATCCTGGAGACTCACCTAATCAAAGGAGAACCAGCTGGGTTGTCCTCTGACCTCCACCCTTCTCCTAAATACAATAGTGCAAAATCAGGAAATCTAAAAGTTACCATCTACTGAGAGCCTTCGAGCCAGGCCTGTGTAACCAACCCCAACTCCATCAGGAGCAATTCTGACTTCTACCTAACAATCAGGCAGAGGCTCCCCGCTAGTCTTCACAGCTTTAAAGAAACAAAATATCCACAAGAGCCCCCCCTTACTGTTGAGTGTTGCTGGGGCAGCTGAGGTCGTACAGTGCTGGCTGTCACCACATCCGGGGGGTGGGGGGGCAGAGGCTGAGGAAGGAAGTCTGAGGCTGGAGTGAAAACCCAAACTACCACCTGGGGAAGCTGCAAAGAGCCCAAAGGGATGGGGGAGGCAAGGCCACGTGGAGCTCACAGCCTAGTCACTCGAGTATCACCCAAAAATCACATACCCACCTGCACCTTCTCCTAGATGGATGGGCATGCCCCCAGCGTGATCACGTACCTATCTGTGGGGCCCAGACTTCCAGCCCTATTTACCCCTTGACCCTTGTAGAGGGGCCGGAAGGTGTGTGCCTGCCTGTTGGAGTCAGCCTGAGATCTTGAGCAGACCTCACTCTCTTCCTCTGCAGTATGGACTCCCAGCCCTACCCCACTGAGGCGATGAAGATGGTGAGAGGACGAGGCCCTAACCCCTACAAGGTGACGTTGAACACAGGAGAAGGAGAGGGGCTTCTGCACTGTCATGAGGACTGGGTACCTGCACATGCCCCACAGACTTGTCTATCAACTCCCTTCCTGTTCTGTCAGTCCAGGAGTGGCTATGGGGCAGGAAAGGAGCTGTAGCTCTCAGCTCCTGAGCAGGCAGGGGGTCTTCAACTAAATCATTCATTGCTACAACACAGCATCTGTTATCAGTTTACTGCCCCCGGGGAAGACATGTTTAGTGACAGAAAGGAGGGGCTCACAGAGATTTGGTGCGGTGTGCCACTTCTGCCCCTCCACTGACATGCCCCCCAGCTCTACCCACACCCCATTCTAACACAGAACATAAATCCACCACCCAGACTCCACTCAGCCAAGGCATAAGGACTGACCCGCCCCAAAGTTCCCTATCCCCTTGACAGACGGCCTGGGGAACCTATCTTACTCCAAAGGGTTTATTGAGACAATTTTTTCACGTACAAGTTGGGGGCAAAAGGGATGGGGCTTATAAACAGGAACCTGAAGGGGGAACCAAGGGCACAAAGTAGAACCCAAATAATAAAGAGTGAAATAAATAGAGGCGGAGTGTGGAGCTGGGAGGAGACTGACAGACTATCACACAGTGATAATGAAGGGTGGGGTGGGGGGGGCGCC